TGAAGCGGTTTTTTTAATAGATAGAATGAGAGGAAGATTTATATGTATAATACATGTAAACCCGGGCAACGCCGGGGCGAGTAGCTAGTGACATATAAACAGAACTGTTATAATAATATGAATTTAGAAATAATAAAAGTATCAAAGGAGTTTGTCGCTGGCCAACAATTATCTTCCACAAAATCTCTATATACGTAGGATGCTGTTTAATCTGTATTTCTGAGAGTTACCCAAGATTAAGCTTGTTGAAGATCCGCTGGGCGGATAATTAGGGAAATTGACTCCATTAACATTACATAAAAACATAAAAGTCATTCTTCTGGAACATTCTAAATGCTTACAACTTGTCTGAACATGTTTTGTAATACTTATAAATAAAAGATATAAAAGATGATGATTTCATTTGTATTAAACAATTAAAGAAATAATATATCTATACATCTATACATATAAATAAAATTGGAGTGTCTGTCTGTAATATTGTAATAACCGTGTTTTACTACATGCATATGAATATAAATACGGTACATACACCAAAATAACATTTTTTACAATTTTTGTCTGTCTGTCTGTCTGTTTGTTCCGGCTAATCGCTGAAATGGCTGAACCGATTTTGACGGGACTTTTATTGGCAGGTAGCTGATGTAATAAGGAGTAAATTGGCTATTTCTATTTTAGAAAAATTCTTCTTCCACGCAGACGAAATCGCGGATACAGATAGCATAGTCTATAAATATAATAAGACGATCTTCTGCTCATTCTTCTTGTGATGAATCTGCGTTCCGAATGAGTGGTAGAATAAAAAAAATATATCTATGTATTTAAAGTTTTTTTATAAAAACATTATTATCGTTAACGAATTCTTCAATTTTATAGTAAGCTTTTTTGCAAAGGAAGTGTTTTATTTGACATTTAAATCTTTTTTCTGGCAGATTTATAACAGACTCTGCTATTTTATTGTAAAACCTTACGCAATTGCCATAAAACGAATTACTAACTTTAGCCAAACGACATTTAGGTAAAATCAGTTTGTTATTGTTATGTACGTAAGCTTTTATTGGTGCAATCACTACATCTTTTGAAACTGTCTATATTCTTCCTGGCATATATGATGTAAAGTAAAATAAAAGAGTAACAAATATCCATGCATCCAGCCACAGTCAGAATCTTCCGCATTTATAATATTAGTAAGTTAAATAGTCTGTTTAAGTTAATCTCCTTGGAAGATGTCCGGTTTGTCTGCGTGTTGAATCAAATAAAGCCGCTGAGTTAACAAATGCAGCCATCTGTTTCACCGCCTTTGCCTCGCCAGATTTAAACAATGAAAAACTCATATTTAATTAGGAAAAAGTTGGGCCCAAACTTTGTGCGGGGAAAGTTTCTTAATAAAAGATGACCTATTCTAGTGTTCCCTTATTAAATTACAAATGTACCGTGGAGTCTGTTCTTGCTTTTAACATTGTTAAAATTTAATTCGTGTAAAGGTCAAAGACAAATTGTTGATTTTAATTTACACAATGTCTGTTACACAAATCTTCTTCTTCCAGCCTTACCCCATTTTCATTTGAGGTCCGCTCTCCTAATCTTTCTTCTCCAGTGGTGTCTGGTTTGGACTGTTGCTGGCTCTATGTTTCCGTTGTCCTTAAGGTCCTTACTAACTACTGACATCCATGTTAATCGGGGTCGTCCACACTTTTTCGGTCCTGAATTGAGGTCGAGAACTTTTCTCGTCAAGTGGTCTTCCGGTCTCCTCATGACATGGCCATACCATCTAAGTCGTGCTTCCACTAGCTTATCCAGTATAGGTCTTATTCTGAATGTATCATGATGCATTTCTTATTAACCAGTTACAACACACACTCACACATATGCTGCATGCATTCTCACAGACACACATACACACATACGCACACAAACACACGGATGCGTTATATCCATTATATACGCACGCAAAAACGCAGTCTCCCAGCCATACAAACTCTTACAAACTAAATGAAATAAATTTTCTTAATCATTTTTATGTGAATGGAATCGGTAATCCTCATGTTGTTTTTGGGAAGGAACTGACTCCTGACATAAAGTTTACGACAGTTTGGGTGTCCAACAGTCTTTTTTTTATTATTAGGTTGTTTGGGCTATCGTCAGATACCTGAATCTGTAGCACTGCGACCTACATAGATCTATTGAGCTCGCCCTTTTTCAAAGTTCGCTACCTAGACGCGTCAGGGATAAGAATTGAAGGATATTCTTAGGAGCGATGGTTTTTATCTCCTCGGGAAAGAGTATAAACTTTCCAAAGGAGATATTTCGTTTATGCATGAGTGGGCTACAACCACATAGGATGTGTAGTGGCGTTTCCTCTTCAGTTTGGCAGAATCTACAGATTCTTGTCGTGCATAGGCCTAGGTAAGCTATATGCTTGTTCAACTTGCAGTGTCCTGTGAGGGCCCTAGTCATCATGCATATATTGTTTTTACTCAATAGCAATAGTCTATTGGAGTATTTGTTCGAGTAGCCGGATATTAGGGGTTTTGAATGTGTCAATCCTGGCATTTCTTGCCAGTGATTCAGTGCTTCTCGTTTGGCTATTGATTTGAGATGTCCCAGTTTTAGGCAACGAGACACACCACAGAAGGGTTCGGGACCCAGTTGGGCGGTTTTTGCTCCTAACTTTGCCAGATGATCGGAACAATCATACTCATGAATACTAATATTTGCACCGTGCGAGGAATCGAACCCGCGAACGCTGGGCCACCGAGACCGTCAATATACATTGCCTGTGGTATTCAATGTTGTCAGTTCAGAGTCAGACTACGATACTACAAGGAAGTTTTACATAGACCTTCTTAAAATCAATTAAAATATTACCTACACAAAATTATCATTGGCTAAATAATATATTACCATTTTGAAAGCGTTCATAACTTTTAAAAGCTTCTATAAAGTACATATATCATTCAATTGAACGGTTACAATAAATTAATACGGGTACGGAACCCAAAATCTATACATATAAATAAAATTGGCATATCTGTTTGTAATATTGAAATAACCGTTTTTTACTACATGCATATGAATATAAATACGGTAGGTATATACACCGAAATAACATTTTTTACAATTTTTGTCTGTCTGTCTGTCTGTTTGTTTGTTTGTTCCGGCTAATCTCTGAAAAGGCTGAACCGATTTTGACGGGACTTTTTTGGCAGTGTCTGTGTCTGTCTGTTTGTTCCGGCTAATCTCTGAAAAGGCTGGACCGATTTTGACGGGAATTTTTTGGCAGTGTCTGTGTCTGCCTGTTTGTTCCGGCTAATCTCTGAAAAGGCTGGACCGATTTTGACGGGACTTTTTTTGGCAGGTATCGGATGTAATAAGGAGTAACTTAGGCTTTTATTTTAGAAAAATAAAGTAATGTTACAAAATTCCACGCAGACGAAGTCGCGGTACAGCTAGTAAATATACCGCTGATTACACAAACCACCGTAATGTAAACGTTACTCTGAACACGACAGACCAAAAGCATTGATATCCAAAGGATTTCAACGAAGCGGTTCAACCTCAATCAATTAGCTTAAATTTTTACAAAGCGATTTGCCTGAAATAATATTTGCACTCATTTATACCAATAAATTGTCTAGATTGTTAAAAAAAACTGGTAAGACACGTGATTTGCTGATTACTGCATCGTTATTCATACGACCTCGGTGACCTAGCGGTTTAGCATACCGCCTTACTTCCGATGGTCGCGGGTTCGATTCCTCGCACGGTACAAACACTTGTACTTATGAGTATGATGGTGTTTTCTATGTATAGTATGTATGTATTTACAAGAAATTATCTATGTATTTGTATCAGTTATCTAGTACCCATAACACAAGCTTTAGTTAGCTTAACTTGGGTCCAGTGTTTTGTTTAATTATTATTATAAAATTAGTAAAATTGCAGAGAATGTTATAGTATAAATCTATACATATTAATAAAATTGGAGTGTCTGTTTGTAATATTGAAATAACCGTTTTTTTAGTACATGCATATGAATATAAATAAGTGTATGTACCCACCAACATAACATTCTTTACAAATTTATCTGTCTGTCTGCCTGTCTCTGAAATGGCTGGATCGATTTTGACGGGACTTTTCTTAGTAGATAGCTGATATAATTAGGAGTCACGTAGGCTACTTTTATTTTAGAAAAATAAAGTTAAATTCCACGCAATCAAAGGCGTGGGCACAGCTAGTTATTATATAAACATAGAATTGCTCTAACTTAAGTTATTATTACAATAGTTATTTTTATAAAATATTCAAATTTATTTCTAGTTACCACAAAACAATGCAATAAAATAAGGCAATGTAAGCAGTATTTACTGAAAAAGCCATGGTGTGAATTTCAGGAATATATCTAGATAGATGACTATTCTGGAATGGTATGTTAGCTGAAAATATTTGAACCTGTAAGCCAACCAAATATATTTGGAAAATTTTATATAGAAATATAACGTGCTGAATTTAACACAATTTTTTTTTAATTAATCTTAACATTTTTTTAATTTATCCCCTTTAGGGGTGGAATTTATCAAAATCCTTTCTTAGAGGATGCCTGCGTCATAGTAGCTTTATGCATGCAAAGTCTCAGCCCGATCGGTTTAAAATTGACAAAGTTTCATACAAACTTTCATCCCCTATTTTATCCCCTTGGGGGTAGAATTCATCAAAATCCTTTCATAGCGGATGCCTACTTTATAACATCTATCTGCATGCACAATTTCAGCCGGATCCGTCCAGTGGTTTGGACTGTGCGTTGATAGATCACTATATCAGTCACCTTTGAGTTATATATATATAAAGATAAGCTTTGCTGAATAAATGTGATTTTTAAATTATATTGTAGCTTGATAATGAATATCTCAATGGATGTTTTCCGAGCTGCGATGATGATGATGATGATAATGAATGAAAATATGAAGTGTGATATGAATAAATAGAATGTGAAGATTTACCTCCTGCGGTTCGGAGTCGACAAACCAGTCGATGATGGCCGCTGGTAGCGAGTAGTCAGATGTACAGTTGACCATCGCCTGCTCGCCCACTTGCACGATGGTCGGTAGACCAGTGATGAGGGGGTCGTACTCCGGTAGCACTGTTTATAAACAAATAGACAACGTGAATAATTATTAATTCCTAATATAATAATAATAATCTGAGCACAATTCACACAGCGCCATCTAGACCCAAGTTAAGCTAGCTAAAGCTTGTATTATGGGTACTAGACAACTGATACAAATACATAGGTATTTTTTTTTCCATAAATACATACATATTATAAATAGAAAACACCCAGACCGATACAATCAATCATACTCATGAATACAAATGTTTGTTCTGTGCGAGGAATCGAACCCGCGACCATCGGATAGTAAAGCGGTATGCTAAACCATTAGACCACCGAGGCTGTAATATAACATGATATGATCTTCATACCTTCGTTTTTCCATACTATATATAGGGTGTTCCAGAACTCAACGTCAAGCCGAAACAGGGTGATAGGATTGATTGTAACCATGAGAAAAATCAGAGCAAGGGTTACAGTTTGACCAAATTTCTAGATTTTTCTTAAATGCCCGTATTTTTCAACCTGGGATATATATTTTTTCTGAAATTAAATTCAAATTTGGGAGAATAGAGTGACGACCAGCATATGCTATTACAAAAAATAAAAACTCTAATCAGTGTTCGCAACCTGAACAGACCAGTCTCTATAAGCAGCAGTCGTTCATGAGTATGACTGATGAGCCAGCCATCACTGCGCTCGATCGTATTTTAGAGATCCAATGACCCGATATTACAATTATTATTATTAACCTTCATAGAAGAAACTGAAAGTGTAATTGGATCTGATATTCAGTTAATTACAGCAAGACGAACCTTTCAAAGAGAGGGAACAAATTGGAACTTTTTATTTTTTTTATCGTACTCTGATCATTCAATTAGAATAATAATTGATCTTTAAATGAATGCCTTACGTTTTGTAAACAACTTACGATGGTAGAATAAACTTAATAGATTCTCTTATAGCAATGAAACGTAGAATAAATTATAAATATTTATAGCGTCTACCAAAAATGTTATTATACAATTTTAGAATATAAAAATGACATATTTAATTAAATATTATATAACTTTAATAATTAAATATATACAGTTTCAATTTATTAATTATTATTATTTCATATACATTTTATATATCTCCCTTTTTACAGGGATTGTAATACATACAAACACGCGGGCCTTAGCCAAACGTGGATGAGTTTAAAACTTATATGTGGATGATGAAAGTGAAGACGACAGAAATTTTCGTACAATATGACATGTGTTGAGAATGACGGCTTTTTGTAATAGGTCTATTGTAGAAGAGGGGATTTGCAACGTGTCTACGTGTTTGATAGGACTTTTTGGTATAATTCCTGTGGATGACAAAACTATGGGTACTATGTGGATGGTGCTTTCTATTGTTTTTTTAATTCTATTGCTAGATCTGTAAACTTTGTTAGTGTTTCATTGATTTTCTCTGCTTTGCTTTGTATATTGTGTGTGTTTGAGATGGCTATACTATATATATACATATACAAGATATACTTTTTTGTTGATTTTGTCGTGTTATGTTATCTGTAATTATTGTTCTAACCCAGTACAGTTTACAGTGGGCATTTTCGAGTACATTGATTGGAATATATTATTATTGTTATTATTATATCCAATATTATAATTATATAAATAATAACTCGTCCTCCTCTCTTCTCTTCTCTTCCGCTTGCTGCCCAACAGGGTCCATAATTAACCTACTTTGAAATGTACCTGTCTTTATATATACAGTAAAATTATGGAATGCAAAGTTATAATATTAAAATAAACAGTAAATGAACTTGTTTATGTAAATTTATAGTTGAGTTTGAGTAGTGAATATTGAAGGAGGTAAAACATTTTTATTAGGAACTAGTGTCTCGAACTGGTTTTATCACACAATATACACATAATCTATACATATAAATAAAATTGGAGTGTCTGTTTGTATTATTGAAATTGGCGTTTTTTTATTACATATGTATGAATATAACTATGGTACATACACCATACATTTAACATTTTTTACAATTTTTGTCTGTCTGTTTGTTCTGGCTAATCTCCGAAATGGTTGGACTGATTTTTACAGGACTTTTTTTGGCAGGTAGCTGATGTAATAAGGAGTAGCTTAGGCTACTTTTATTTTAGAAAAATAAAGTTAAATTCCACGCGGACGAAGTCGCGGGAACAGCTAGGTTAATATATATTGATAATAATAATATGTATATTATATTAATTTTGTTGGCCTCAGTGGTCTAGCGGTTTAGCACACCGCTTTACCGATAGTCTCGGGTTCGATTTTTCGCACTGCTCAAATATTTGTATTAATTAGTATAATTATTTGTATAGGTCTAGGTGTTTTCTATTTATATTATTTATGTATTTACAAAAAAATATATATCTAAGTATTTATATCAGTTGTCTAGTACCCATAACACAAGCTCTACTTACCGTGGGACTAGATGGGGCTGTGTTAATTGTTAAGGGTTATTTATTATTATTATTTACACCTTACGTCTCTGGACTAACAAAATTTTCAAAGGTGATTGATGCTGAGGATCTGCCCTAGGAACAGGTCAAGGGAGCCAAATTCTTTTAGGTCTGAAACTTTTAGGATAGTTCAAAAAGTTGTGATATGCAACTTAGTGAAAGTCAGCTCGGGTTCCGAGGGTGGATTGAGAGGCACCCTCTCAAACGTAAAAAAATTCAGTTACTTCCTCCCTGTCTTTCAGCTGACTTTAGCACGGTGTATTATAAATTAAACATCTAAAAAAATAGTGATTTCCTTTCATCATCATCTGCTTCTTCATTATCCCATTTTTTTGTTACATAGTTATATATATATTATGTGATATTCTTCAACAATTCACACTACATTTACACCCGTGTTATATGAGTTGCTGTATATATCAAAAACTAGTAAAATTAGATCGACTTTACAAGCAAGTGTGTTGAAAATTAATAAGCTTACCAGCAAGAGTCATGTTCGCTGATCTCCTGTCCACTGCGAACCTGGGACCTTCACTGGAGACCTCACAAGTGTACTTGGCAGTTCCTCTCTCAGGCCTTACTGTGATCAGACATGCTTGGGCGTCGCATGAACTGTTTGTGACCGATACTCCAGTACTGTTGAATGCACGCGTTTCGTACTGCAAACAAAAAAGTAAATTACTGGAGATAATGCATTATGAGGTAAAATTGCACGTGTCTTCGATTAGGTATAGCGCCGTAAGCAGGCATGTAGCGCGCGAGTGGCGTCCGGTGGGCGCGCGTGGAGAGGGGCAACCGCGCGCGAGAACATCGCGCGCGTCAACCGGACGACGAACTGCTCCACCGATGGGACCTTGAGATCGCGGGCGATCACGTCATTACGGACGTACCGTCCGGCATTTGTGCACAGACGGAGGGCGGCGTTCTGTTGGACCTGCAGTCTCAGCCGCTGTGAGGCCGAGCACAGTGCGTACCATGCGAGGGCGGCATATGTGAGCCGCGAATGAATGTAGGTCTTATAAATGCCTACTTTCGTCCGCAGCTGCAGCCTGGATTGCAAGACCGGTCGCAGCATAGCGCGCGCGGCCTTGGCTTGTGGCGGCGTTAAGCCGGCTCGGCGAGCAACAATAGAGACCCACAACATGATTGCTCCAGCCGGCTGGTGGGAAGCAGCCTGCTGGTAAACGAACGACGCTGCGGTGGCACACCCGAGCAAAAAGCAAATGCTCTAGGCCCGTACCCGGCGGTCCTTAGGGACCAGCGGACGACCTAGTCAGTCACAACAACAGATTGAATCCGAGTTACATAGATAGATAACACTTTTATTTGCTTTAAGGGCACACATACAAGGTACAATAATATAAAGAAACAAAAGTAAATACACAAATACATTGGTCAGTTAACAATCTTATTAATCCAAAAGTTTTTTAGTATGGAGGGTTGTTACTTTTTCACGCTAAAAGTACTTAACGGATTTTGATGAAACCTTACAGTAATATAGCTTATACATCAGAATAATATGTAGGCTAAAAATATCAAGCGGGTGAGATCTATTAGGCACATTGATTGAAGTAGAAAAAGTATAATCCATCACATTTAAAATAAGTATTGTTGCTAAGTAACAGTTTGTATGTAACGTGCAACTGCGATCGGAACGAAGTAAATTATATTTACTACTATATATGTAATCCACTCAATATTATAGGTCCAACAGAAATTATTAGTATTTTAACAGATTTAATTTTGGATATGTTTTTTGCTAGTAGTTCTATTGTTTTCTCTTCTGTATATTGTTTTATATTATGTATGTTATTTAAATGTAGAGATGTAGAATGTCTTAAATGTAATGGATTAAGGGACCGTATCAGGCACATTGATTGAAGTAGAAAAAGATCCATCACATTTAAAATAAGTATTGTTGCTAAGTAACAGTTTGTATGTAACGTGCAACTGCAATCGGAACGAAGTAAATTATATTTACAACTGTATACGTAATCCACTCAATATCTCTATCAAGATCGCGGGCATAGCTAAGGTATAATATAGACATAATCAGCGTGTGAGTAACGGTAGTGTGTACATCACCCATACGCAAAAAAACTGCACCTCAGTGTGGTAATTTGCTCGAGGAGCATATCTGCAATTACTGAATGTCTGGTAATGCCCAGAGTATTATTTATACCTAGTTATTTCTATTCTATACCTCAAAAAATCGTATTAATCGAACATTATTTACTCAATTTAGTGAACGGTTGTTGATGAATTAGGATTATTGTATATCTTCGACGACCTCGGTGGTCTAGCGGTCTAGCACACCGCTTCACGACCGATGGTCGCGGGTTCTATTCCTCGCACGGCACAAACATTTGTATTCAGGAGTATGATTGTTTCTATCGGTCTGGGTGTTTTCTATGTATAATATGTATGTATTTACGAAAAAAAGATCTATGTACTTGTATCAGTTATCTAGTAACCATAACAAGACTATCGCCATTTAGACCCAAGTTAAGCTTTAGGTAGCTTAACTTGGGTCTAGATGGCGCTGTGTGAATTGACCTGAGATTATTATTATATTATTATTTTTTTACAAGCATTTCTCATCGAGTGTGTACTCAGAATATATTTTCTCACATTTATTTCAAAGATGGCGCTGATTCCAAAGCATAACACAGTGGCGCCCCCAATCAACTTTCTTACGATAATCGATAACCGTACCTACTTATGTATATATATACATGTATTATTTATATCTTTGTAGTGTTATGTTTACCACATACTCTTTCTCTCATATCTGTAAGATTGCTTAGCGATAAAACACTATTACAACTTATTGTATGTATATATATACATTAATTGAGTTACATTAGTTCGGTTTGGAATAATATACCTTATAAACGGTAAAAGAACTTCTCAAATCTTTACTGTCCTCAACGAAACTTGATCTCTCTATAATATTAGTATATATACAAAATTAACTAGCTATGTGGCAATCACTACAAAACAATGCCACCACTGTAGGAACAGGCCAACCAATCCCGGACACTCGGGACCGCCCGCACGCACGCTATTTTATAAATATGTCAACTGTTTAACAAATAAGATAAATAGTATATTCCTAGTATGTATAATAGATTTTAGTATAAGTAGTATATAGTATAGTTTTGTGTAATTTACCAAATAAAACGGCTTTCCATAAGAAGGCCTTTAAATCAAACCATAAAAAACCCTGAGAACCTCACGCCCATATCTGCCACCCATATGTACCATAAAAAACCCTGAGATCCTCACCCCCATATCTGGCACCCACACGCACCATAAAAAGCCCTGAGATTCTCACGCCTATATCTGGCACACATACGCACCATAAAAACCCTGAGATCCTCACGCCCATATCTGGCACCCATACGCACCATAAAAAACCCTGAGATCCTCACGCCCATATCTGGCACCCACACGCACCATAAAAAACCCTGAGATCCTCACGCCCATATCTGGCACCCATACGCACCATAAAAAACCCTGGGATCCTCACCCCCATATCTGGCACCCACACGCACCATAAAAAGCCCTGAGATTCTCACGCCTATATCTGGCACACATACGCACCATAAAAACCCTGAGATCCTCACGCCCATATCTGGCACCCACACGCACCATAAAAAGCCCTGAGATTCTCACGCCTATATCTGGCACACATACGCACCATAAAAACGCACACATACGCACCATAAAAAACCCTGAGATCCTCACCCCCATATCTGGCACCCACACGCACCATAAAAAGCGCTGAGATTCTCACGCCTATATCTGGCACACATACGCACCATATAAAACCCTGAGATCCTCACGTCCATATCTGGCACCCATATGCACCATAAAAAACCCTGAGATCCTCATGCCCATATCTGGCACCCACACGCACCATAAAAACCCTGAGATCCTCATGCCCATATTTGCCTATATCTGGCACACATACGCACCACCTTAAAAAACCCCTGGGATCCTCACGCCCATATCTGGCACCCACACGCACCTTAAAAACACCTGGGATCCTCACGCCCATATATCCTGAGATCCTCACGCCCATATATCCTGAGATCCTCACGCCCATATCTGGCACCCATACGTACCATAAAAAACCTCAAGATCCTCACGCCTATATCTTGCGCCCATATGCATAATAAAAAACCCTGGGATCCTCACGGCCCTAGTTTTAAAATTAAATCCAGCGTTATATTAAAACACAAATATTTGGGTCCTGCTAATAATGGAGCTACATATCTCGAACTTTCTAATTAGACTCCCAACTTTGCCTTTGTCGGGATCAGAGGGTGACTGCTTTTAAAGACATCACGCTTATTGCGATTGTGATTCAGAAATTTCGTCTGTCTGTATTATAGTTACGCGATTAAATAGAATAGAATAGAATAGAAAATTATTTATTCAAATAAACTTACATTGAAGCACTTTTGATCAGTCATCACATTTTTTTAATCTACCGCTCATTCGGAAAGCTGTCTCATTACAAGAAGAACGAGCAAGAAACTTGTGTGTTGTTCTTTTATATATTGTTACTTTACAAAATATGGTCGAGCGCAGTGATGGCTGGCTCATCCGTCATACTCGTGAACGAGTGCTGCTTGTAGCGACTGGTCTGCTCTTATCACTACGACTGATTTAATCTTATTGTGTTTTTATATTTGAGCCTAAATAAATAAATTCGACTTGTACATGTAAACTTACAAGGATTATTTAAAAGAGCAACACACGAGTTTCCTGCTCGTTCTTCTTGTGATGAGACAGCTTACCGAACGAGCGGTAGTTAAAAAAAAATTTTATGACTATTCAAAAGTGCTTAAATTAAGTTTATTTGAATAAATGATTTTCTACTCTACTTTATTTGTTAGAAATCACATAGACTTACTCTATTTTTTTACATAATTTTACTCAAATAAGTATTACCTGATTTATGTCATTACGTGCGTAATAGAATATATCGACGGCCTCGGTGGTCTAGTCGTAAAAAACACCGCTTTTCTCCCGATGGTCGGGGGTTCGATTCCTCGCACTACACAAACTTGTATTCATCATTATAAAAAAAAATCATTATCAAAATCCTTTCTTAGGGGATGCCTACGTCATAGTAGCTTTATGCATGCAAAGTCTCAGCCCGATCGGTTTAAAATTGACAAAGTTTCATACAAACTTTCATCCCCTATTTTATCGCTTTGGGGGTAGAATTCATCAAAATCCTTTCTTAGCGGATGCCTACGTCATAACATCTACCTGTATGCCAAATTTCAGCCCGATCCGTACATTGGTTTGGGCTGTGCGTTGATAGATCACTACGTCAGTCACCTTTGAGTTATATATATTTAGATTTATATGACTATATTAAAGGAGCTGCTAAATTATTTAGCGAATTAACTCAGCCGTTTCAAAACCAGGAAGATTTACGATTTCGGCTACTGGGAATGTAAATCAGACCTCGCTAAAATATGGAAACACCGACGAGTTTCCTATACTGAATGTTTCAACGCTATATTTGGAGTTGATACAGCCAGCCGTGTAAATATTCATTCCGTTTATGATAATAAAGCAAGAAAATTAATGCCTAATATATTCTTGATTAATAAATAAATAAATCACCCTGGCCAAT